GTTGTTGCAGAAACAAAACACCCTACAGATTGAAGAGGGACTTCAGAGGTGGAGATAACACGTTGATTGTACAGCGGAGAAAGGCGAGGGTGACTCACAGATTTGGCCTTGAGTTCCTAACTGGATGGTAAAACAAGAGGAAGACCAGGTTTTGAAGAGGGATATGATAAATTCAGCTTAGGACATACTGAGTTTTGAGTTTCTGTGAACAAGCAGGTCGAGATGACCCATAAGTTGATAATGTGGGTCAGGAGCTAAGAATTCTCAGCTGGACATTTGGCTTGAGAGCCTCCTGCTTATACTTAGGGACACCACGAGGTTAAAGTTCTGTGAGTATGACATATCTCCTGCTATATGTGGCTGTTTACATTTATCTGAGAGTTTAAAAAATCCAGTTCCTGGCTCATGCCAGCCACATTTCAAGTGCCCAACAGCCACATGTGGCTAGAGGCTACCATCCTGGACAGCACAGTCCCAGAACATTTCCATCATTCTAAAACATTCCACCGGACAGTGTTAGCCAGTGGTCCTAGAAACTGAGTTACTGATCAGAGAGAAGAGAAGGGAGAAAGAATGGAAAGCAGAGGAGGAAGGGTCTTCCAAGGAAACTGGGAAGAAATAGGTGAAAAAGACAAGCCCAAAAGCCAAGGTAGGATAGAAAAAGCAGTAGAGGCCCACATGGCATTTAATTTTTTCAGTCACAATACTGAGAGAAGCTACACATTACTGAATGCCTTCCATAAGCAAAGTATTGTAACAGGTGCTTCCCACACTGTCTACCTAAAATCACACAAGCCTCTGAGCAAACGGAGCCTGATTCCCACTTGCTACATTTCTCCTCATGACTATTACTGCTAAAATTTAATTTTGCACCTCTGCCAGTTTTACTAATTGTTTACATGCACTATCACGTATAGATAGGGTAATCACTAACTTCATTTCCTAATGGAATCAAAGAATGCAATGTTATTTTTAAAATATGATCCAAGATAACCTGCATGAAAGAAAAGCTTGTTACTCTTGAGCTGAAAATTGACTTAATTATAAGCCAAGTTTTTGCTCAGCATGTCACGCACTGGGCTCAGTTCTCTGTTAGGATTAGCTTATTTAAGTTCTTCAGCAATCCTCAGGTCATTCCTATCAACCTCAACTGTAAGATCAGGAAACTGAAGACCACGGGGGTTTAAAATTTTGCTAAAATGTCACAGTGAACAATGGGGGATCTCTGAATTCAAACTCAGGTCAGTCTGATTCCAGAGTCTTTGCTTATAACCACTGCCTTCCACACAGTCCTATTAAAAGTTAACTGTAAATCCTCAAGATTCATTGTAGACAAACAATGATCTCAAGTATCCTTCTGATGCATAGGGTATACAGCCAAGAAACATTCTGTGCCTTGGGAAAAGCTTCTTCTATAAAGATGCTCTATTGGCCTAATACTGACTTAGTAAAATATAAAACCAGTGTTTGCAGAGGACACAATTGAGCACCTCATTTCATAGTACATAGGTTTTTCAGTTGTTTCCATGTCTGTTTTACTCACAGAAGACAGTAAATTCCACTAGTGTAGGTAATGTCTGATACTTCTCAGAGATCAAAGACTTTGATGGAGTTAGGAGGATGAAATTAGCAACAGTATTCAGGTCCACCAAAATATGTTATAGGAATGTGCTGAGAAAGATACAAGTTTTATTTTTACAGCCTATATATTTTTCTTTTAATTGTAGTATAATTTTGAGTGATATAGCACTATGTTCTCTGAAGGACCTTAAATTAAGAGCAATACAGTACATGCTCCTCAAGAATAGCCTTCTCTAAATAAAACAATTTGGGTCCAGAATATCTCCACAACCTTAAATCCATGTGTTTAAGGACCAAAAAAAAAAAAAAAAAAATACATATATAAGATCATTAAACTGAGGTGGCATGTTTCATCAGAGGACACATTAGTACCATAGGTAGGACCCTGGGCCAGACTAAGCCAACTCAATTTTACGGCTCTGCATGATTTAAATGACTAAGTGATTATGATTTCACGATTGGCTTTGTGACATACAGTGTCAATATCCTGGTAGCTCATACTATGCATAAAAATTAATAATAATTCATTACACAAATAATTTAAGTTGACAAAATTCATGATCTCACATTCCAGGCCCAGATACAAATCTAGTCCCTAGATATTATCTGCCTTAAAGATCTTCAATACTACTTGATACCTAGAAAACAAGAAGGGAATTGACCACCAACACACCAGCTTAGTTTACTCAAGTTTGTAGGCAGAAGAAATGTTAAAAATGACTCCTGGGGCGCCTGGGTGGCTCAGTCGTTAAGCATCTGCCTTCGGCTCAGGTCATGATCCCAGGGTCCTGGGATCGAGCCCTGCATCGGGGTCTCTGCTCTGCGGGAAGCCTGCCTCTCCCTCTCCCACTCCCCCTGCTTGTGTTCCCTCTCTGTGTCTCTCTCTGTCAAATAAATAAATAAATCTTAAAAAAAAAAACACACAAAGAAAACGACTCCTTAAATATTCTTCTTGAATATTTATACAGTAGTTTACTAATTGTACTGATGAAAAATATTTAAATATTACTGTGTCTTTTCTGAGTTAAAAACTATGAGATCACTAAATGTATTTAAACTGTTGCAAAGGCAGATGCAGTGGTGGCTTTATGCTTCTGTTGCCATTCTCGTGCAACCAAGGTATTCATGAACAGTTTGCCTCAAAATTAGGAAAACGAACACAACAAAAAACCCAGGTAACCCCCAAAAAGTTCCTGAGCAAAAATAATTACAGTGTCACACAGAGTCTTTAGAACATTATATTTCATAAAAGACAATGATAAAAAAGTACAAACATTTCCATGAGGAGCAAAAAAAAAAATGAGTACAAGAAATTACTAGCATTTATTTCAGTGCATTTATGTAGAAGCCTTTCAGATCTAATAAATAAAATAATCTTAAGTACACTTCCTCTTTCTGATAAACAGTATGGCCATTTTAGATCTCTCAATTGGCATACTTGTAAATACAAGGCAACAAATCTAGAGTACTAATATTTGTCTGAAAAGTACACAGAGAAATATAACAGATACAAGCAGAGGCCAAATAAAATGACACAAAATCTGCTTTCACTTGTAGGAAGCCTCCAAAAGAAGGACAATATCATATTGGTTGTTTTTCCATTTTGCTTTAAAATGGATATCAATATTTTGGTTGGAAAAGGAGTCTAAGCAAGTTTTTAACACATAATTATGTATTTGCATAATACTGTAAATAAGCTTTCTGATCGAACAGGTTTTCACAAAATATGAGCAAATTTAAATGCAGATTTTAAAAAACTACTCATGTGTACACTTTTCCCTCTCTTTTCTACAAACAGGCCCACTAATCATTACTTCTCTCTCAAGGTGAAAGGCACGACGTAACTTTCCCAGTTAGTGCCATAGGGACCTCACAATAGCTCCATGTCCACATATATGTGTTTCTAGACTTTGAAACTAAGAAATACAACAGATAAGTTATCAGAGGATGTCTTTATAATTTTAGAGATGTTTCAACTTGCTTGATTTGATTTGTTCAGAAATAAAATACTTTTTCTGTTGGCATACCTCGCATTGCACTTGATACAGAATAGGCAATCAATACATGTTCCCTAAGAAATCCACCAAACATAATGATAAAAAGAATTTCCATTTGCAATGTATTTATTAATTTTTATGGAACAGATTTATTTCCATAAAATGAAGATAACTGAGGAAACTATCACTCTTCTGGAAACATATAAGTCATTCTCCTATAGGCAAAAAATTGATTCTAGGTATGCACTTAAAAAGCAAAACAAAACCAAAAAAGGGGGGAAAGCAAAAAACAAACTAATGAGATGATTTTCACAGGATGACATACCATATTCAAAACTGAAGAGAGCAAAATAACATTGCTCACTCATAAAACAAAAATGGCTATTAGACTTAATCCAAGAAAATAAGGCAGATTCTAGTAGAACTGAGTTCTCCTGAAACTGTAAAATGTGTATCAAAATGAGGATTCCAAATGTGGGCAGCTCCACATTAAAAAGCAAAAAATACGTTTTACGAGTAAGACTCAGAAACAGCCCTAATTTTCCCCACAGTTAAAATATGTAAGTATTAAAAAAATATTTAAGTATTATTGGGTTAATTACGCTCTTATGCCCCTACTGTCTTGTTAGTGATCACAAATGTTAACATTCCCAACCAACTTTCATTTCACCAAATTAAAAAAACTGCATTGGCTATGAGACCAAAATGAACAGATATACAAATTCAGAACAAATCTCTTACTTTTCAGAAGGTTTGATTTTTTTGTGATTTTGAGTACCACCAAAAAAATGGAAGATAAATATTTTGGAAATATTGCTAGAGAAATAAATATGGAAAATTCTGTTTGCTATCATAAGGGAGAGTGATCAGTTTTTTCAAAGTATAAGAATTTCAATTACGTTATGATTTTGTTTGTGGTCATCTGTATTACTAATATTGCCATAAAAGATGATACTTCAAAATTAAACTTAAACCTGAGATAAATAACCATATTTCTGTTTTAGGTGAACAAACCGTGAGGCAAATATTATCCCAACATCCCTCATAGATAGATTTCTATTGTTCTTCATTGTTTTTGAAGATTCACTTCAATAATTTTTTGTTTTAAATTTGTGAAAATATTAAGATATTTTCCAGAATCTTTGGTTAACTATAGTTGATAATTTTCAAAGTAAGGATATTGTTTGGTTTTGCCATGAAAACTTCATCCAAATTTAAGATCCAGTAATATATTGGATGTCAGGTAGTGAGACCTGTTCTCAGAGAAGTGTCCTAGAACATCAATGCATTTAAATAACTGATTATATATTTTAATATAATTCTATTAAATCATTTCAGTGAGGCAATTTTAAAAATACCAGAAATGTAATTTCTTAAATGTGGAAAAAAAATATATAGTTCTAATAAACCTGGCCAACATTAAAGGTTCCCTTCAAAAACTTGAAATTCTATGAATCTGAGAATTAAACTTAAAATTTGTTTTTATCTACTAAGCATTTATCTTCATAAAAATAGAACATTTAATTTCTTATCTAATATTATAATTCATTTGTATATTATAAGTACTACTGGGTTTTCCATAGCTCATTCTTTTAAAAAAAATTGTTTTGATTTTTTTTAAATGAAAATTGTTTTTTGGCTCTTCTGAACTAGAAATAATGAAAGTGCTGTTCACTATGAATTAAAAAAAAAAATAGAGTGTACAAACACACACAACCTCAGGAAGATTTTTTGAGGCACAAAATTCCTGACAATTACACCAAAGATACATGAAAGACAGTTAATTAACGTAAAGAGGTCCTTTATATCATGTTACGTCACAACATTTAAGATTCTCTTGGTAATACTCATGCAATGTGCATAAACAATATGGTTGTGATTTAGCAAAATCTGATGGGATTGCAAGCAAGGAAAAAAACAGGTAATCCTGGTAGGAAGAAAAGTGGTCTAAGTCCTTTCTTCTTACCCTGTAAAACCCTAAGAAAGCGATGACTTCTTCCACACAAAAGGCTGAAGGTCTAAAGCTCAAAACTAGTATATAACAGTTTACTGTAGGAGTTGGCTGTCAATTATTGACAGTTCCTTCATTTCACACAAGGGTTAACCTTTGTTTAGTGACATAAATTTGCATTGTTTTCTTCCATGCAAATAAAAAATGTCTATAAAAGTCCGATAAAGGCATAACCAATTACATGCAAAACTGCAACACATCTTCTTTTCCAACAATTTGAACACATTAATTTACATCACATATATACAAAACATGTTTAAACAGAAATAAAGCATTCTCTTGAATTAAATTATATATTTTAGTATAAAAATTTTCTCTTTGTAGGGAGCGCTCTTAACTTCCAGATTTCAGCAAGGGCATCGGGTGTCTGCAGGGCTCGCCGTGGGAGTGTGTCTCACAGAAGAGGATGGGTGATGGTCTCTAACCTCACACTGTAAACAAGGGCTGCTGGCTCTTCTCACGCAGCAGGGCACCATGACACATCCATTCCCTGACCTCCAGTAAGAGCAGACTCCCAGTTGATGATCCAGCATTGCAGTCTATCTTGCCATGAGAGCTACTTCTTTTAGTAGTCTTCAATTGGAGCTAACTCTGGCATGAGGTTTACAGAGATATTTGTATACAACCTATCAACCAGTATTTTTGGCGTATATATTAAATTGTTCAACCCATCAATGTACTGACGTTCTTTTGAATATCTTAGTAATTTATACCTATGGTGTTAGAGAAAAAAATGAAAAATAACAGCAACACGTTCAAAAAGAAAAACTGACAACAAATATGCTCAAGGTTGTTCTTATTTAAAGCATTTAAAGCTTTTTCAATTTTTACTTTTCATAACATAATTAAAAATCTTTTAAACCATTATCTAAATTAGCATTTTTACTAGTCTTAAAATGCCTCCTGAAAAAATTATTTTGTGCACTTACAACTTAGACATCCTTAAGAAATAAAATGTTTTATGAAATAACATATCTTATGTTAAGGAAACACTTTTTATGTGAATAGCTAACCGGGCTCTTTAATATAATAACATCAATACATATGTATAGCTCTTCGAAACAAGCACAAAAATATTTTACTTCTATAAAGAAAAATAAGATCAACAGAAAAGTCCCTGCAGAAGATTTTTTGGGGGCTGCAATGTTTTTTTAACAAATCTTTCATACATCAAGTAATTCTGAAACCTTGTTATCTGAAGGTGATAGTAAACTTACCGTCCTAAAAACTGGACTTCACCTCGATGGTGATGAGGAATAGACTTGTATTTTCCCAAGTCTCCCTCTGGTCTTGTTACATTATATCCAGCATAGTGAACTCTACAATACATGGAAATAAAAATATAAAGGAATAAACTGTGACTAAAAATTGATTACGTGAGTTCAACTTGAAATGCAAAAGAATGCTATCATTAGAAAGAGGTCAAGAATTTCAGAAGGCACTCTTAATGAAGAAAGGCAGAAACACAAAGTAGGATTTAGAAACCTCAAAAATTTTCCATCCCAAAAAATCTTTTCTTGGAATAGCAAAGTGCAATCTAACTAACAGAAAGGAAATTTATACAAATTCTATTATTAAGCAATTTATACCTCAACATACCTGTTCCAAAGGTCATCATCTTCTCCTCCCCATCCCCAGAAGGCATTAGGAAAACCATTGATCTTTCTAAATTGTTCCACTGTCAGTCCACTTACACCACCAAAAAACTCTTTATATGGAAGACTAAAAAGAAAGCAGAAGACAGCATTCTAAAAATGAAATCAAAACAGTTTGCCATCTGAAATCAAGTTTTCAGTCTTAATGTGCGCTTTGCAAAATATAGTCTTATTTTCCATAGAAACAATTGTTCTGATTAAATCATTTTCTGGGAAATGTGAAGTACACCAAAAAAGAAAACATTTTCACAGTCTAGCAAAACTTCTAAATGTGTTAGGTAAAACACAAAGTAAAACACTTGTGATAAATGAAATTTAATATTCAGTATTGTTACTTTGTAAGACTCACAACCCAGTGTTCAAAAACTGATAAGACTTCCACATCAAAGTAAACTTGATTAAATACACCAATAGTTGTCAATGCAATGTTAGATGCTATTAAGCTAATAAAGTGTTCTAAATTAATTGAATTATAAATGTTATTTATTATGTACACCAGGATAAATATAAATTAGTAAATACAGCTTTAGCATTTAATTTTTTTTTTTTTAAGATTTTATTTATTTATTTGACACAGAGAGAGACATAGTGAGAGAGGGAACAGAAGCAAGGGGAGTGGGAGAGGGAGAAGCAGGCTTCCCGTCGAGCAGGGAGCCCGATGCGGGGCTTGATCCCAGGACCCTGGGATCATGACCTGAGCCGAAGGCAGTCGCTTAACGACTGAGCCACCCAGGTGCCCCTCTAGCATTTAATTTTGAAATGACCAGCTGCCTGTTCCTGTAATAATCATACCTGTTTGGTATGATACCATAATACTCATGGATATTTACAAATATATTATTTTTGATGTACTAATATTTAAATGACTTTTTGATTGAGATATAATAAACTTACAACATTGTATTTATTTTAGGTGTACAACATAATGATTTCACACACATATATATTGCAAAATGATTACCACAATAATCTAGTTAATATCCATCACCACACACAGTTACAAAATTCTTCGTTTTCTTGTGATGAGAGCTTTTAAGACCTATTCTCTTAGCAACTTTCAAATATATAGTGGAGTATCATTAACTCTAGTCACCATGCTGTACATTACATCCCCAGGGCTTATTTATCTTACAAGTGAACTGTGTACCTTTGAACCCCCTTCAGCCACCCTCCCCACCCCCGCCCACCACTTTTGGCAACCACCAATCTGTCCTCTGCATCTATGAGTTTGTTTGTTTTAGATTCTACATATAAGCGAGATCATACAGTATTTGTCTCTCTTTGAGAAATGACTACTACATTTTCAAATCTGGATTTATTTTCCTTACCTTTCCCTAACTCATACTCCAAGGAATTTGTCAAACTAAGTTGTTCCTTTAGATATAGATTGGTTTTCTGATCTCAAGGTAGCATCCCTAGACTTAGTTCTGAATAAATTCCTGTGCCCCCAAACCTGCTAATGGGAAGCGGCAAGCCAGGGCTCCTACAGAGGCCAAGTCAATGTGGGAGGCCAACAGGGAAAACATGACCATGCACAGCATCCAGAAACCAAGCTAAGGGAATCCTGGCCAGGACGATAGCAGAGCTGCCTCAGAGAAGGGGGAGAGAGCAGATCTCACTGTTTTTGTGGGACGACTCTCCTCTCACTCCCTGTAGGGAAGAAGTGCTGGGTGTCAGCTGAGGTCCGGTGTGATCACAGAAGACGGGAGAAGCAGCTCCTGCATGGAACTCACCAGGTGCACAAGAAAGCAATCTTGGCCCCACTGGCCAAAGGCACCCAAAGACAATCACAGTGTCCCAGGAGACTGTACGAGGCTTACATTTGGGAAGTAAGGATTCTAGTTATGGCACCAGTTGGGGTTCAGTAGGGCTGATAAGCATTCGTGGCACTGTTGGGTTTCCCATGCCAGTTAGATTATTCTTCCCTAGGCTAGAGGTTTGGGAGAAACCTGAGATTAGTAGATAGGAAGATATGGATAAATGTGTGTATATGTGTGTGTGTGTGTGTGTGTGTGTGTTTTCATTAACGTGTATAAATTGGCAAGCACATTAATTCTACTTATTGTTTTGCTTAAGTGCAAACAATCGATTGCACTATATCCAAAATGAAGAGTAGGTAAAAGGAAAGCATAACAAATAAACTAAAGAAGAGAAAACAGAAGCTCAACAAAAAATCCAGTAGGATTTCTCTCACACTGACCCAGGGGAGAGAGTCACCAATCTGGGGACCGGAGCTTTCTGGTCTGCAGCCACCATAGTGTGGGTGCCATTATGGGGCAGGGATGCTCCATCAGGCTTCACCCATGGCCCAAAGTCTACGCACTACCAGCCCTACTCCTTGATCTGCTGACATTCTCCCTCAGCTACATTCTAATTTCTACTCAAACTTCCAAGATACCCTACTAACTCTGGGATCAGTCTAGGTAGACAGAAGTATCATATACATTAATACTTAATGTTTTTAAGTAAGAGAAATTAATTTCGAATTCTTAGTTTATATGACCTATATGATGCTTTTTAGTGAAAATCAGTTACTCCAAATCTAATTTAACTCTAGTAGGGGCTAACTAAAACTGAGTTTCCAAGAACCAGGACTAAAACCCAGATTCTGAACTTGGATGATCTTCCCCAAGCCCACGGTAACACTGGACTTGGGAGTTCAGATACTGTAATAATTAAGAAAAGGTTTTCTCATTATAATGACCAGCAAAAAAAAAAAAAGAAGAAGAAGAAGAAGAAGAAAAAGCACTCCTTTCCTGTTCTAGTGCTGATTCATCTGGTCATGTCCTTGAGACTTTTGGCCTCCCCCTATTCTGTAGGTTGGGCAGCAGACAAAACTGTGATGTAGGTAACATCTCCCCTGCTCCAGGCTATTCTGTCTTCTCTCCACTTCCATCAGCCAATGAGAACTGTGATGACATGCATGCTTCAATGTCAACTTAAGTTACCGTTAGAGCTCCAATGACTGTTTATGTTTCAAGGTATGTGCAGTCAGAGAGCAAGAAAGATCTGCCTCTTATTATTACAGGCAAGACAAGAACCTATAACTTAGAAAGAAGACACACTGCAGAGAAAGGGCCTCCTTCGCACTAAAACAAGTCACTGGAGAAGGAGAAGCAGAAGGGAGCTGCCACAGGGCACCTGGGTGGCTCAGTCGTTAAGCGTCTGCCTTCGGCACAGGTCATGATCCCAGGGTCCTGGGATCGAGCCCCGCATGGGGCTCCCTGCTCAGCCAGGAACCTGCTTCTCCCTCTCCGCTCATGCTCCCTGCTCAGGCTCTCTGTTGCTATCTCTGTCTCTCTCAAATGAATAAATAAAATCTTAAAAAAAAAAAAAAAAAGAAGGGAGCCACCATGTGCTATGTACACCTACGCAGGGCAGGCCCAGTGTGTGTGATCTCCTACAGCCCTAGGGACGGACTCTATTACTCCGATGGACGAACAAGAAAACCAACATGCAGAGACAGAAGGAACTAACCAAGTCCTATCACTGGTAAGTTGTGGAACCAGAAAGTTAAGTCTACATTTGCTTGACACGGAACCCAGGTTCTCTTTCCCATCAACCCACATGCAAACCTCTGCGTGAGGAAGCACCCAGATGGCGGGTAAGTGACTCTATATCCTGGCTCCCTGTGAGGACCAAGTGGAGTGAAAGATACTCTTAGGCTTTTAGGCCCTCTCAGATCCGGCCACATTAAGAGAGCTACCACTTCAACGACACGATTTTGTAAGTATACTGTCTGCTATCAGGAGGAATGCATATTACTCACATATACATGTATTTATCCAGCTTTGCTGCAAAATGACGTGGCATTTCTCCACAACCATAATAGTTTCGGTCATTTTCGGGTAGATGATCCACATCATGGAAGATGACACAGTCCCAGACACTGTCTTTCATGGCCTCTTTGAAGCCCACATTGAAGAGCATTGCACGGTTAAAAGGCTGTGTGCCAGTCTTCACAAAGGAAAACAGAAATGTCGTCAGGCTTTGTCATCTGACTTTTCTCTACGGTTTTCTAAACTTGTTGAAGCATGGTCAAATAATAATAGTAAATACATCCAAATCAACTAGATAACATAAAAAAACATACACCATGATCTTCAAATATACTGTTTAGATTTACTTACTCCATTCTTTTGTACTTTGGTTACATATAAGAAAACACTGTTATCTAGTGTATTCATAGAACGTTTCTGTTTTACTTCAAATACATCTGAATACAGATCATTTATGACCGGGAGAAAAAAATAAAACCATTAAAAATAATATAGGTTGTATTTTTTAGTGAAGCTTTCCCTATGTGTCAAGGCTAAGAGAAGCATGAAGTTCACTGGGACTGAACAAGCGGTAGGGCCTCCGCTTATGGAACAAGGCCAGCGAGAGCGAACTCTGTACTGTTAATGCTTACAATAAAGACATTTTTAGAGACAAAAACAAGTGGAACTTATTACACAAAACCCAACTTCCTTTATTACAACCATTTTCCTTTATTATTAAGAAAAATCTAGTAAAGTGCCCAGGCAACAAACACTTCCTATTTTTATTATTCTTGCTTATGATACAGACCAAGAGCACTTTAAAGGACAAGAAGATGGGAACTTATTACACAGAACCCAACTTCCTATGGAATGTCCACTTCCCTTTATTTATGAGGGAAATTATATGAAGGTGCACTGGCAATTAAATCGCTTCATTCTATATCTGAAGGAAATTAAAGAACAATTACCCACACCTTGGCAGTATTTCTCAAAATCATTTCCAAACTAGACAACAAAACAGGACGATGACAGAAGCAAATGAGATACACAACACAGTCATTACCAGAGGGCTGCCTCAGGATTGAGAAATGACTAATTTTTAGTCCCGAGTCCTGCACTAACTTGAGGTAACAGAAATCACTTTACTTTTTACAGCTTCCTTCTTCACCAATGAAAAAGAGAATAAAAAAGAAAGGGAGTTAAATCATAGTGTCATGTGTCATACTGGCACATCAACATCAGTGTGAACAAACTCCTTCCCTTTAAGGTTTTAAAAATCGTTTTTTATTAAATGTGGACATAATATTTTATGGCTTATAATCAAAATAGTAAGTTCCATGTCTAACCCATCTTCACCTTCCCAAAGCAGAGCATCTCACCTCCTCTAGTAGTTTATTCCAGGACTTCTCTCCATATTGCAAGGTAATGAGAGTTCAGACATTTCCTGGTTTCATTAACATTAGACATTGTCTACTGACTTCGTACCATGGTCACTGAGGATTCCCACCACCACACTCACTGCCCCCCCATCCATTTTCCCAATATAGTTATACCGTAATTTTTGGCTAAACCAATAGTATTTACATCATTAGGACTGCATAAATATTTCTTGAGTACAGGTGGCTCAGCTGGTTGGGCGTCTGCCTTCGGCTCGGGTCATCATCTCAGGGTCCTGGGATCGAGCCCCAGATTGGGTTCTCTGCTCAGTAGGGTGTCTGCTTCTCCCTCTCACTCTCCCTTTCTGTTCTCCCTCTCTCTCCCTCTCAAATAAATAAATAAAATCTTTAAAATATATATATTTTTCTTGAGTGCCAAGTGAATTATGATTCTGTTTTCTTTTTCAAGCTGGGATTAATAACCAGCTTCCATTTTTTTAGTTTTCTAACTATTATTACTCTGTATAAAAGCCCCAATAGATATACCTTCTACTTATTAATAATTGATGTAACTCAAACACATCACATCATTTATCAATTCTTTTTCCACCCCCTCAAGCCCAATTCCAAGTCCCACTGCCCCGGATTCTTGCTCCAGGCTGGACTGGTCTGACTGGGGGCACCTCTCATCCTAGGACTTGTTCGTTCCCTAGCATCACCCCTGTCCCTGACTTGGCTTTCTCCATTTGCTGAGGCATGTCCTTCAGCAACTTCCTAAGCAAGGGTCCATGGAAAAAAATATATGTATATTTTTAGTCAATGAATGCTGGAAAATGCAATCAGTCTACCCTCATACCTGATGGACATTTTGGCTGGGTAAAAATTTCTAGATTAAAAATCACTTTCCCCTAGAATTAATTTATTTTATTTTATTTATTTATTTGTCAGAGAGAGAGTACATAAGCAGGGGGGGTGGCAGACAGAGGCAGAGAGAGAAAAGTAGGCTCCCTGCTGAGCAAGGAGCCCAAGGTGGGACTCGACCCCAGGACCCTGGGATAATGACCTGAACTAAAGGCAGACACTTAAGCAACTGAGCCACCCAGGCGCCCCTCCCCTAGAATTATAAAGGCATGGCTCCACAATCTTCTAGCTATCAGCATTACTAAGAAGGTTCCTATGATCCTGATATATAATCACTGGAAATTCTTCCTACAGAACCTTCTTGATACCTTGTCTTCTTAATTTGTATTCTAAAATTTCAAAATAACATGCTTCACAGTGGATCTATATTTTATTCATGTATACATGTGAGTTCCTTCTATCTGAAGACACGTCTTCCCTTCTGGGAAATTTCCTTGTACTATTTCTTTGGTCATTTCTCCCCCCAGTCCCTCCTCAGTTTTTTTCTGCTCTACTTTTCCAGAACTCGGAGTAGCAAGTCTACTGCTAATTGTGAGCAGGGAATTGTGACAGCACCGCACAGAAGCCTTCTCTCTGCTCCGGGATGTCAGGGCCTCGGCTGGAGGATCCGCTCCCAAGGGTGCTCGCTCACACAGCCAGCAAGATAATGCTGCCAAGCTGGTTTCCCCTCCACAGGGCTGCCTGAATGTCCTCATGACCTGGGAGCTGGCTTCCCTGACAGTGAGGGATCCAAGAGACCAAGGCAGAAGCAGCAAGGTCTTTCATGATCTGCCCTCAAAGTCACATGCTGTTGTTCTTCCAGTTTGGTTGCCCCTGCAAGTCAGCTCATATTCACTGCAGGAAGAGACCACACAGGGGCCTGGTTACACAGTGGCAAAAATCCTTGCAGGCCATCTTGGAAGTGATTACCCCCGTGACATACTGGTACTGACTGATCTTCTTAATTTCTTATGTTTTGGTTTTATTTTAGGAGTTATTTTCTTAAGTTTATCTTCCAGCCATTCTATTCAAAGTTTTGTTTTAGTTAGGGCATTTTCTTTTACAATAACATCCTTATTCTGACCACTCTTCCTTTATGATGTCCTATTTTTGCAGATTCATTAACTTTACTCTCTGTGGATACTGATTATCTCATCTCTCCTCACCAGAACAAGGGGCCTTGCCTTGTTGTGTTCACTGCTGTATCCCCAATGTTGAAAGAAGGAAAGGGCTTTACGGAGGTGATAAAGCAATGAGCTGGCCTCTTCCTTTGGAAATTTCTGAATATTAGATTAGGCATCTTTTCCCTGGGGCTAATCTGTTTCTCTAACAAAGACACTACTCATGCCCTGCCTCAGCTGGAGGGGCTGGGGGGATTCATACCTAACTGCTGGCTTCAAAAAAACCAGACAGAGAAAAGGTCCGAGGGTCCCTAGGGTCAGCGTGCAAACTTACTTAACCTCTCTGTTCTGAGGCCCTCCAGCTGAGCTGGGCCAGCACAGTCAGGACTTTCTCTGGTGTGGTTTCTCCAGAGGATGCACTTAAACTTTCATTTTTTATAAGACACAATGGAGTAATCACCTGGCAACATAAGCAAAGATGAGGAACTGGGAATTTGTTTTGTAATCAAACTTTTAAACAATCCTGTTACTTTAGCCCAGTAATTCAGTCCATCTGTGACATCTTTCAACTGCTAAGATCCACAGGACTTTGTCCAGCAAACTGACACAATGTTTGTCACAGTTACCCTCAACGAGCACGTGGGTTTGAACACCCTCTGCTCTATGAAGGGACCCATTAGTGCCCCATCTGCTTCCTGGCTTCCAGAAATGTGCTGAACTCCCTCAACGACCATCTCTTTGTCCTTCTGGTTTAAAAACTTTTTTTTTTTTTTAAGTTTTTTCTTTCACTCTCGTTTTTAGGAGTTTGAAAAGGAGAAGTGGTAAATATGTGTACAATCTTCTATATTTAACTAGGAGTTCCAAGCCTTTCTTCAATTGCTTAGCACTTCTGGGCACCAGTCCAGCAGAAAAATCACTCTTCTATTTCATATGTGGTAAAAACGTTACTACCTCAAAACCACCCACTATTAAATACATGGGCCTGAATTAATATTGATCAAGGCTGAGATTTAGACTTAAGAGGTTTGTAAAATATGGATCTTAGTTGCTTTGTAAAGGTTGCTTCATCACATACACAAAATAATTCAGTGGTGCTGGACTCTCAGAAGAATATGCCTTCAAAAACACAAACACAGTGCCCTCTTCCATAGCTCAGCTGGTAGAGCGGAGGACTGTAAAAACAGACGCAGACAGCTGACCTGTCAACACATGAGGAGACTGAAGTTTCAAAAAAGGAGGATAACAGTTGGTAACTCTGACTTAGAGGTTTTTTAACTATGGCTACATGAAAGAAGCTAAAAATTTTGATTTATTATCAGGTAAAAAAAATCGATTTTCATAGTATAGGTTGTTATATTAAAAGGTACATATGCATTGTATGTATCATTGTGCAGGAACAAATCACCTTAAAAGGATGATCTATATACAGAGAAGTATATGTTGTAATAAATACCGAGTATTTCCAGGGGGAAAAATAGAGGCAAAAAGCTAAGAGCCGATCTAGAATAAGCCACAAAGGAACTGGGAAAACATATCATATATAATAATCTTAGGAACAAAATTTGAGTATGTTCCACAAAAAAAACAAAAACAAAAACAAAAACACAGAAGCATCTAATGATACAAGCCTGGTCACTTTCTGTATACTGATAAGTAAGGAAATCCATTTTTAGTCAGGTTTAGTGTGAGTAAAAAGAACGAATATCAGGATAAAATGAGGTTATCAATGTCAAAACCAAAAGTACCCAAATTACAACATATTTGAAACACAAACAAAATGCACCATTTTAGAAATGCTACCTAAAAATCACTGATAAAATTCAGCAAGTACCCTAGTGCTTGGGAGGTGGGGTAGCGGAAAGATGAGGAAAGAAATCCAAGATGATACTTTAAGTATAAAACTAGGTAATGACAGAAGTGGAAAAAAACCAAAAGTATGGTAAATATCCTCAAAGGTCTCAAGTACTGAAAAAAATTGTATATATGGAATACTGAGACATGAATAATAATTATACAGAAAAAATCAGCTGATAATATAAAGAATAATTCAAAAACAATGCTTCATTTTAATAGGTAAGATATGATTAAAAATTACAGGAGCACATCAACTGATAAATGGATTAACAAAATGTGGTATATGTAACATGCCCAATCCCAAATGAGAATTTGCCCCAATATAAAACCAAAGATTCACCTTAAGCTAAACATTTTTAATCCCACCATATCTAAGAGTTTATTAAGTTCCAGTATACTCAGTTACCATTTTGAAAAATATTCTCACCTAGAGACGCTTGTGTGGCTCAGTCAGTTAAGCGTCCGACTCTTGATTTCGGCCCAGGTCATGATCTCATGGTCGTGAGATCGAGCTCCACATCAGGCTCTGTGCTGAGCATGGAGCCCACATGAGATTCTCTCTCTCTCTCCCTTGATCTCTGCCCCTCCCCCCCAACTCATGCACATGCTCTCTCACTCTAAAAAAATAAATTAAATTAAAAAAAATTTTTTTAAATTAAAAAGAAAAATATTCTCACCTGTTCAATGACATAAAAGGCAAATTCTAGCCTCTGCTTCTGGAGCATTGGAATCAGATGCAAGAAAAAAATTGGAAGATGTTCATGGCGATTACGGAAAGGAATAAGAACTGCCACCTTTAAAAACAAAATAGTCACATATGTAAATAAATAGAGCAGCAAGCCCTAGAGGTAAAGATAAAAACTGATCCTTAAAAATTTCTGAAGGTTTAAGGGCGCCTGGGTGGCTCAGTTGTTGAGCGTCTGCCTTCGGCTCAGGTCATGGTCCCAGGGTCCTGGGATCGAGCCCCGCATCGGGCTCCCTGCTCTGCAGGGGGCCTGCTTCTCCTTCTCCCACTCCCCCTGCTTGTGTTCCTTCTCTCGCTGTGTCTCTGTCAAATAAATAAATAAAATCTTAAAAAAAAAAAATTTCTGAAGGTTTAAAAGTCCTACCTTTATGGATTTTCTCACCAGAGATCAACAGTGAGAAAACATAGACATGGCCCTTGCCTTTGTGCCACTTAGGGTCTTGTGAACCTGGGGAGGTATATGGGGGCTCTGAGGGCCACTCCTTAGATTATGGTCTTTATTCTAGCAATACCATGGGAAATCTTGGAAAGATTCATTAAGAGTGATAAAATCCCATTTGGGGACGGGCAAAGACTACCATGGAGAGTAGACTGGAGAAACCCCAAAACAGATTCAAGGAGCTGGTCAGGACATTAACGCAATTAGTCAAGAGGCAATGGTAGTTAGAACTGAGGGGAGGGTGGAGAAGAAGAGAGGTACGTGATTTTTTTTTAAGATTTTATTTATTTATTTGAGAGAGAGAGAATGAGAGATAGAGAGCACGAGAGGGAAGAGGGTCAGAGGGAGAAGCAGACTCCCCGCTGAGCAGGGAGCCCGATGTGGGACTCGATCCCAGGACTCCAGGGTCATGACCTGAGCCGAAGGCAGTCGCTCAACCAACTGAGCCACCCAGGCGCCCGTATATGAATTTTTGAAACATTTAAGAAGTAAATTAACAGCACTGGTTTGTGGATTGGATAGAAATCAGGAGAAGGGATGTGTCAAGAGTAACTTCTAGGTTTTAAAGTAGATCATAAATAATAAATTCATGGTTTTTCAACTGAATTTAAAAGAGATTCCAACTGAACATCTATTATCCTACATGTGGCTTATCTGCCCTAGAGTTATATTTGAGAAACATAAGGGATATATCATAGAAGTTTCATAATTATATTAACATCTTTCATTTAATCAAAATGCACAATTAAATTTTTGATATATGTTTATTTCAGTGGTAGGATAATACTGAGTTTAAAATGAAATTGATAATAAAACTACATTAAAATGTTAAGCTTAACAAAAAAAGCACTGTAAGCATCAGCAAAAAGAGAAATTTATCCTTTATAAACAGCCAAAGAAATGTGTTTCTCACATAATCTAAAGAACAAAAGACACATATATGGAAATTAAATGGTTTCTCAGTAAATCGATATTTCTTCTAATAGGAAAAAAAAATGTATTGGGACTCTGAAAACCAAGATTAAAACACAACATCTATATAAAAGGTGTTCATATAAAATAAGAATAAATGAATATTATCAGTCATCACATATCCAAATCCTCTATTTCCTGGATCCAAACTTTGTCATACAAGCTAAGTTGCCCTACAATTTAGATTTTGCCCTTTAAAAAGATGAAATGTTTTCTAAACATGAATTTTCTTAGCAATTTCTGAGCTAAGCTAGGTTTATTGTAATTGTGAGTTTTCTAATACAAGTTGAAATTAAATGTTTTATACAGATTATAAATCCCCAAATCATTGGATTTTCAAAGAACATAACAGTCAAAATATACTTAAATTACAACATCAATGTGTCACTCTATATTCCAATTTTAAAATACAGTCAATCTGGTTATAACAGAAAATCTTGTAGGAACATTAAATCTGGGACTTCCTGAAATTTCACTTAATCAAATAATTTTTACCAGTGAATAAGTGCAAATAATTGAAAGGTTTAGGACCTAATCCTCTTTGTAAAATCAGGACGTGACATTAGATATAGTCAACAAAAAACAGTAGCATTTACTTGTGTATTTTACATTACCAGGATCATAAATGAGAGAAATTTTTCAGTTATTAAAATAGTTTTATTTTTAAAACCCCACAAAAGATAGTTTAGCAAAACTGAGAATGTCTAATCTAGAAACGCCCCCCCAATTTTCCCTTAAATGCCGATGAGGTAGCAGGAAGGCACAAGGGCCCCTATGACGCTGTTCTCCTCACGTTCACGCTGTTTCATATTCAGTCTGTTGGTAGGAACTCAGAGGCTCTGGTGCCTCTGCCAGCCCCACTCTGGATCCCATTCCCGTCTGGCTCTCCTGTAAGGCACCTCTTGAACTGAGAGGCTCCCAGAGCAAAGCTACCCCACATCTAAGAGCTGCTTCCACCCCCCCAGTGACTGGGGACCTGCTGGTGGGAGTCAGTGTCCACTGCTGATGCAGCCATACTATCCCCAAATCAATACCACTCCCAAACCCATTAGGGACCCCTAGGTTCACTCTTAGGAGAGCAAACTGCTACAAAAAGTCAAAGGAGAGAAGGGAGGCAGATGGCGAGAACAGATCCCTACCACCGGCCTTATCTGAAGCCAACAGCGTGATAACTTCTGCAGGAATAAGCATCAAGCTTGCCCTTACTCATTTTGAATTTGGCCACAAGTTAGCCACCTAGGACATAATGTAAATGGGCCATAAAAGCAGTTAAGGAGAATTATAGATATTTAAGGAAAGAAGCTATTAAACGGCTGCTGAGTCCATATTAATTAAATACAATTACGGTGAGTGATGAGTTGAACATATAAGAATAAACAAAGACAAAGTCATAGTCCCTAATTCAGTCATCTGTTCAATGAAGCATTTAAAATATCAAGAGCTGGTTTTCTTTCTTAATCTTATAAAGAAACTGAGAATATTAGAAAAGAAATTACCAGTCTCTTGGCAAATTCAAAATAAGCTAAACTGTTGTCTTAATAGCAAATAAATGTCCATATTTTAATGAGACAGCTATCAAATATTTTGACTATGCCTAAAGCAAAGTTTTTATTAAAATAAAGCTAAACAGTATTGTAAAAATTCATTTGGCATGTCCCTTCTTGTGGCTATGGAATGACATTCTTAACAGTTTACAATTTATTATCTATAAAATGAAGATCTCAGTGTTCTGCAATAATCTACTTCGAGGGTTAATAACCTCTATTTCAGGACATTTCTTATGTGTACCCTAATTTGCTGTTTGAGCCACTCTCTTGATGCATTTCCAGGGAAGACACACAACATCTGGTCATTATCTTCTGCAAAATAACACTTCATCTTCATGAATCTCTCCTCACCACCTCCTATTCAAGCAAAATTATCCCATTCAGTTTGCACTCACTTTAAACCACTAATCTTACTGAATTTATGCACCTATTTTTCTCACTTGCTTATTTTCTCTTATACTCACCATGAGGAAATTAGCAAGAAAAGTGTTTACTACATACATTTTCCCCACCAAGTATTTGTCCTACTTTCAAACTTCAAGCACACCAGCAGCTCCGGTGTCCCTAAGCGACCGGACGTCACACTTTGCCTCCAGCCAGGGCGCACTGGTCTCTGCCACTGCCAAGGACGTACACAGCAGAAGCCGCTGTGCTCTCATTCTCCTGCAGGGTTTCCAGCTCCCCCTTCCTCAGCCTCCCCATTTCCAGTGTCTACGGAAGCTTCTCAAATAGGAGGCACTTGATAAAAAAGGCAGGTTCTTGTCCCTTCCCACCAATAGCATCGGAATGTCTGAGCACTACGTTCAAGAATCGTCATTTTTACCAAACACCCTGGGCAGTTCTGCACAGGTGGCTAAGACTCATCTCTGAGCCATCGCGGATGAGAAATGGAACCCCCCCACCTCTGAGCAGACACGCGCCATGGGTGGCTGCCTGGTTCTTTAAGCCTTTAGGTTTTAGACAGAAGAGGTTCAGACCCTCCCCGCCCCAACCCCCAGAATGGAAAGGCAATGTCACAGGTGAACACTTCACTTTTACTGGTAGGAAAAGCATCACCATCTTCCCCTTCCAACCCCCCTTTCCAACCTCTATAAGGCCTCCAAGGTGGGCTGAATTTTCCACTTGAACCTCCAATTTGAAAAATACCTGAGAATTGCTGAAATCACTAGATTTAGAGGATCTCAATTCCAATTAATTGGCCATCAATGAACTCAGTTGGTATTTTTTTTTTTTAAAGAAAAAGAACCTCAAATAATAAGAATCAAGTGGGTAGCACATATTTAACATAACATGTTCCTCTCCCTCTCACTCAGCTCTGTTCCAAGACTGGAATGGGACATTAGGAGAATGTAAACAGGTTGGGGGCAGGGGGAGGAGGGGAAGAGTCCTTACTTAATGAGTTAAATATGGCAAGTTCAAGTCACCTCTGAATGATGTCCAAATTTCCTCTCCTACCTTTAGCTGCATAGCTCAGAACTAGAAACTGTATTCTGAGAAGGGCTTGTGTCAAGTTGCAATAAGAGCAGCATTACCATATGGTTCCTAAATAAAATAAGCTTATTTTTAGATCCTTGAATTAGCTTGCTCCTGGGAACTCCACTTCCAATACTGTTACTTAGTCATTCACATGCAGTTTACGGTCTACTAAAATCTTTAAACAGGAACTACTTCTGTGTGTGATCTACCTTTCTCCCAGAAAATGAGAAGAAGAAAACAAACCATAAAACTTAAAATCCACTGTCTGATATAGACCAATTAAGAAAGAACAAGAATACTTAATTTTTTCAATCCCGAATTATTTCATATTACCACACCGTGCACACCTGAGCAGTATACTGTACCCCACGTAAATACTTCTGAGGGCCAGGCTCCAACACTACCCCACAGCTGTTGTGACTGATTATGCTTTTATTCTCCCATTAGCATTCAATATACACACTCATCACCCAAGTAAGAAAAATCATTTATTTGCCTAGGACATTTTTTAAAGGTAGAACTGTGTAAATTAGGCCCTATTTTACCTACAAGTGTGAGAAAAATCAATCATGAAATATGAAGATTCACTTATTAACAGAATCGGACCAGACAACTGTAAAATAAATGTATTTGCCAAAATTTGTACCGGAATCCATTTAAGCAGCCTTACAACTTGTTTGAGGCAAAAAAAAACACATTTATTTAATAATTTGTCACAAGGCATTTATTTACCTCATAACCTCAGTTAAACAAAACTGGGTTTAGTGCTTACTTTAGAGAAGATCATATGCTCTGCATTAGGGATACAGATACAAATAACACACTCCCCCAAACACAAAGAGTTCAAGGCCAATTAAGTCAGAGGGCTTTTATCTAAATTCTCCTTCTCAGCAGTGATTTTTGTGTACAAAAAGACAAATATTTTAGAAAAATACTAATACTGAAGAGAGGAATTGAAAACTCTTCCCAAATTAAGGCTATATCACAATCCTTGAGGATAGAACGTTTGATTTAATCATATGTACTTTTCACTTGAATTATGTGAATGCTACTTCCTACTCAAACATAACCACCTTACAGGAATATGCACTCACTAGCCAATTTCACAGTACTGTGAGCAACTCTGATTTAAATCATGGTTTTCAATTTATTTTAAGCAGCAGAGGCAGACCCATTCCCTTCTAGTTTTTCAAACAAAACATTAATTAAAACTCTGACATGTGTCAAAAAGATAAAAAGCTAGTGCTCTGCCTTCTGAAACAGAGGAGAAGGACCCAAAGTTTTCCTTTTTGTGTCCCACAGGGAACTCTGAGCCACCTCTTTTAAGATTCTGGGACTTTGAGGAAAGCCAATGTGAGACCCACCTGGAAATCATCGTTCCAGGACTTGGTGGGGCTAGGCCGGTGGGTGACAGACAGTAATCATTAGGGATAGCAGCACAAGACAGAGAAAGAGGGAAACAGGGGGGGAAAAATCTGTTTTCCAAGCCAATCTCAAATGAGGTTATTTATTAGTAGGATCTCCAAGAGACAGACAGCACATGAGCGCATATTTTGTAAACACATAGGTACACTTAAAGTCTTCACAAGTAACACTATTAAATCATACTTGAACTGTGAATACCTACACATTAAATACAAAACTTCTGAGGTCTTACATTTTCAAGAGACAAATACATTTCACTGTATATTCTGAATCAAGCACACTTTTCCTCACTCAGACGCATAGTAACAATTACATTACTTATGAAAAAATTTACCTCACCTTCCATCTGGGTTTACAGTCTTTAGGCCTCCAGTGACCTCCTGGCTCAATATCTAAATCCTTGGAGAAGAGTTGATGAATTTCATCAAAACTGATTTCACTTACATTGACATTGAGGAATCCCCCTAGAAGGTCAAACACGTGAAGAACTGTTTTAATATGAAGCAAGACAAACAGCAGTCAGTAGGGTGACGGCATAACTTAGTTGCCAGGACAGTACAGTTTATTCCTCTTATCACCACATAATTGTTAGTATCACCCCCTTTTGGTTGTAGTCTGGATGATACATTATACCATCACTCCACTCTCTTTGGTAAATCAGCCAAAGTAAATCAAATTGTTGAAATCTTTTGCTCTGAGTACTATAGTGAATATTTTACTATTCTTTGGGAAATGTTTGCATGTCATTACAAATTAGCTTATTATTGTAATTTTACAACTTACTCAAGTCTTTTAAAACTACTCTTAATTTCAACATAATCAACATAGGCAGCATGAGAGCACAGTACATAAGAGTTAATTAAGCAGTTAGATTGGCAGGGAGCCGCCGAATCCTACGTTCTGTGCACTAGGGACACAATTGAACTTCTCTGTGCCTCAGCCTCCTTCTCTGTAAAAGCAAATGGTGATACCTGCCTCCCAGTGTGGTTACATCCACTAGATAAAATAGCACATGTGAAGGATCAAGCACAGCGCCAGCCACAAAGGTACGCACTCAACAGACCTTAGCTATTATTACTCTCCTCTACTTCACTCACATTTCTTGAGAGAATTTGCAAACACAACTCAATAAATTTATATTTTTAGCACCTACCCAGGATCCCCTTGATATGCAAAACTAGAAAACTATAGGCTTTTAAGATATTCCTGGTCTACTAGGCATTCGCTCTCTGAATTAACAAATATATTCCTGGAGGTGTTTTTACTAGTAGCTTCTCTGTTGTATACCACTGAAATAGGAATGACTCTTGGATGGAAAGGCATTCCCATTCACTCAATCAAAAACAGAACTAAGAAGTTACAGAACTACGTTCTGTCTTACTCTTCATCTCATGAAATACGTACCAAGAAATGAGGTTTCCCACTTCAAGTCCTCTGAGCCTGAGTGGCCCTGATTCCACATATAAAATCCTCAGCTCCTCTTGGATAGAGCCTTTTCCCTTCCTCCTGTTGTTCTATACTCTAAGGCTTCACAGCTGCCTCTCCTTCCATCCCTCCCTTCTTCCCAGGTAGGCCGGAATACCACCAGCTTCCACTAAGCACTGAGGCATGCCAGAAATAAGTATTTCAAAATACAAATGTCTACATTCCAAAGGGTAAGCTGGGAAAAAATGTGCAATCTTCTCATGTCTGCCAGTTCTCCTGACAATGTCTGTGGTCTTTTACAACCAAATACCCAACCTTTCTTATGACAAGATTCACCTAAAGGAATGAGTAACCTATGAACTTGCAGAGAAAGGGCAGGTCACGACGTGAGACTGATCAGCCTAAGTACGGACTCCGCTGACAAAAACAGAATCTACCACTGTAATCAAATAAAATTCACACAAATAAATCTGATGCACTTAATGGTATGTGTGATTACTAAAATGATAGTCATTAGGCTAAATTATAGGCAGTTTACAGAAGTCACCGAAGCTGGGATTCTTCATGCACCATGACACCGATTTCTTTGCCTATTTTCCAGCTTGACAGGACCTGGTCCAGCGGTGATCACCATGGTCAGCAGCTCTCTCCAGTCTCATTTAGGTTAGCTCTCATCTCAAACACGCATGCACTGGCAAATTGGGCAAGCCTTCTATCTCTTTCCTCGCTGGGGAGGGCCTCCAGTGGCCACCACTTTCTCTAATGCTCGAGGCACCCAGAGTTCACTTCCCTTCCAACTGCCCCACCATGCACATTCCTCAGAGTCCCTCAGCAGCCTTCCCATGTGGCTTTTATTTTTTTTTTAATTGCTCTTTCCTCTGAAATCCCAATCTCTTACTGGCTGAAGGCCAAAGACGACCCAGTGGCATGACATTGTCATGCCAGGGGTCACAGCAACATTACTTTTGGGGGGGGAGGGGACAGGTCTCCAAGACAGGACTGCCACACTGGGAACACTGAAAGTGTGATCAGAGAGAGAAGAAGAAGAAACATGAATTGAGTGGGGTGGGGCAGAGTGTGATGGGACACACAACTCCGTTTTTCGGAGTTGCTACCAAGGCATTTCAAAGTATGATAATCCTACTCACACCCACCCAGAGTCCCAACATTTAGATAAGGACGTGACTTTAGGATTCCTGCCATAAGTTCCTGCTTTGCTTTTCCCATGGCACCTTTTTAAATAATCACTTACAGTTAAGGCCACAAAAAAGTGAAGCGACCTCTGTCCCAGCCACCCTGTAAGTGACAGGTGCCGGCTCCCCTGCTCTGTCTCCTGCTCACTCCGCCTGGAACACAGGACTGCCCTTCCCCCAGCTCACTGCACCCCTTGCTTCTGGGATCTGTAAGTAATTACATCTTGTGACTTGACTTCCTTTGTGGGGCTGTACTGAAACTAACTTCAGTCAAAACGACCCCATGGGTTTGGGTTTTACTTCCCCAAAGTGGGAGCTCGGATGCCGAGGGAGCTACCTGCCAACCCCATGTGGCAGCAAGTCACAATCTGGGTAACTGGCAATGAGGATGAGACTGTGGGTGCAGTGCATATCCCCATACAAGGCCCCAGAGCTGCAAATGGCTTACTAACTTCCTCTCCCAGACCACTCATCTCCCTGGAAGGAGCCCCCGCTTGCTGGCAGTCTGTGGCACTGCCATGCACCGCGGCGGCCAGGTGTTGCCGCAAATCCCCACCCTGAATTGTCGCTGCTGTAGAATTCAGACTCCCCTGCAAAACCGACCCCCAGCAGGCCCCGTCTGAGGTAGGTGTGTTTCCCATGAGTCTCCAAACAAGTCCCTGCTGTGTGTCAGGTCTGGAGGTAACTGGCAATACTCGTATGCGGAAGTCCCAGCACTGGGCCAAGGTGAGTTAATACCCACGAACACCAGGGCTCTGCCTCCTTCCTCCAGGCAGGGACAGGGGACGTGGGCTATCAGATCCTAGGAGCAAGGGGAGTTCCCTCAGATTAGTGCCACAAGGGGAGGCTGGGGGCTGGGCCTAAGGCGTTCATGGTCGGGACTGGGGTGTGGAGCCTGGAAAGCCAGCCCTGACACACAACAGAGGCAGCGCTGCATGGGGCGTCATGCCACACCTCCCACACTGCCTCATTCCTGGCTGCTCTGGCCAACGGACCCCCAGTCCCATGGGGTATCAGGAGCCTACTCGTGGCGTGGTACAGCAAAACGAATTCTCACTAAGGGCGGGCCCCTGAACACATGGCAGCAGCTCGTCCCCAGTTCCCAGAGGAGGCTGGAAAAACTACCAGACACTTGTAGGACCCCTGCTCAAATGGCTTGTGGGGCATATCATATGCCTCATCGCGGCTGCTCCCTTCTTGAGGTTTGGGACACACCAGCTAATGTTGCACTGGTGGAGGTGAACCCCGACCACTTGGAGGGTCGGTCGGGATAACCTAGAACAGGGGTAGCAGCGTATGAGTCAGGGAAGAGGCCAACCTCCGTCCCAGGTGCTCCCTATTACTATCCTTCCAACCAGAACATCCAACCACCAGTGTGAAAAGAGAGACAAGTAACTATACAGGGTAGAAATGCCAAGGTTTTCTAGAAAAGTCTGCCCATGGGGACGGGGAGAAGGATCCTAATTGGCTCTTACAGGTCTTTGGAACCGGCTCCGAGCTGTTGATTTCAGCAGTTGAGATGCCTGACCTGGCCAGATTGGCCAAAGACCCCAAAATACACAATTTGTACAAAAAACAAAACAAACCACCCAAGGTACTGAAGCCCTATTTTATTAGAGACACCCTAGAGAAAACTCCGGACTTGTCACCACAGCGACAGCACTCCCAAATGAACTGGGCTACCAAGGCAGGAGATGAAGACAAAAAAGGGAAGAGATTCTCAGGAAAAGACCTCCCCCACAAGCCTCCAGAGTCCACAGGGATAAGGAGAAAGCAGCTCTGCCTCTCCTAGCTTGAGTTTCTTCTTAAAGCTCCCCTCCGCACCTCAATTATAAGGCTGTATTGTTATAATTCACTGCAGCATAATAGGCATTAGACCACATCAATGCTGTAGCTAGACATGAAAAAGATAATTTTCCCGAAGGCCAAATCTTGTTTGCCAGTAAAGGCAAACGGCCCCTCTGCCCCTTCAGCTAGGAACCCAACAGAGGGCCCTAGGAGATAAAAAGGCTTCCAAGCCTCTTAGTCTCCCTTGAGGAGTGGCTCCTCGATTCAGCTCCCTCCCACATACGATGACCAGCAGGCCCCTCTGTATGGGCAACTCTGGAGATCAGGGGTCTCTACTCTTGAGACAACTCAAATACAAGTCAGAAGCCTTTGCTCAGGTGCTGTGAGCTCTTCAAAAGACTGCCAACCCACCATGAGGGCAAACGCCATCACCACTTAGAATGTCCCAGCCCTGGTGGCAGGATCTGGGGTCCCATACTCTGACCTCCAAGAGTGGAAGCTGCTAAGGCCACTGCCCGAGGGACCCAGCAGTTCCCCAGAGCTTGTCTCTCTTCTGGGGGACAATCACCCATATAGTTCTCTAATTATCCACTGGGACACACATAATAGTCCTCCATTCAAGCCTTCCAACAGTCTTCATATTTTTATACAATAGGCAGAAACTGGAGCTCATTTTGGGGGCCAGTATAACTGCTAGGCATGTTACCAGGCTCAACAAAGGCTGTTTCCTGAGTTAGTGGCCTACCAAGCTGATTTACCGACCCTGTCCCCATTTGACCAGGACAAGGGCCCGCCCCCATGCACCCCTATGGCTTTGCCTGGCCTCTCTCTATGCTGCTCAAGTGCTCTCATGCAGGACATTTTGCAGCACACTATGTGATACTTGGCAGGAGCCCCCCCAGTTCCCTTTGCAATCTTCCATCTGCCCAAGCACCAACACCACATGGATGAGTATGATCTCCACCTTGTCCCAAGGAGAACAACCCCCACGGTCTTGGGCCTTAAGACCCAACCATCCAGGAGGAACCTCCAACTTATCTTGGCTTCCCTGATTAAGC